GAATGTATTGACTTAAAGAAGCCCTTGCATAATGCTGACATATTTGAGAATTTGGTATTTTTCAGTTCCTAATTATCCAATAGTTACTGTAGATGCACAAACCAGCAGCTGACTGAATAATGTTTTCTTAGATCCTGATTTTTGACCTCAAATCTAAAACTTTCCCTCAAATGTGTCTATAATGTTTAGTCCAAGTTCATGTTTTTCTTTACTGTTGATCTTGTACGTGTAATAGGTTGATATATAGATCTGCAGCGGTGTGTTTCTACACTATATGTGCACGTGTGTGTATGAGTGTGGGCGCTGGCGTGTCAATGCACTTAGCTTTATTAAGTGATACTGCCCCAGAGTGAGAGGGAGGCTGTTTATAATCAAGTTATTCTGAAGCAGCAATCCAATTTTCCGATAGAGAATGGAGTGAGATTTCTGTTTGTGTGTGTGCGAGAGAGAGAGAGTGAGTGTGTAACTTTGTCTGACGCTTGTAGACAAGACAGAGGTTGGGATTTTATGCTTTCTGTGCACGTGTGCGCGTGTGGCTGAGTTTGTCATATGAATGCATAATGTGATCATTAGTTGCAGCTCTCTAAGTGGATTCATCAACTATAATGGACCATAACAGTGAAAAGACAGCAAATCATGAGCAAGAACCTTCTGACACTGGTCTGTTACAGTTGATGAAAATGAAAACAATTTATTTTACTACAGAAACACAAGCTGCATGCAGAAAACTGATTTTTAAAATTGTTTACTAGTAAAAGTTATCTATAGAGCTCTGTTTCTATGGCTTCAGGGGAAATTCAGGAATCTTGTGATGATCCTTACAGTATCCTCCATTTTGCCTAAGGTGTGTGAGTGAGTTTATAGTCTCTTTAGGCCTATTTAGGCTTATCTGAGAGAGGGGACAAAGAGGCTTTTCTGCCAGTTCAGCATCTCTTCCTGTCCCTCTCTGCCTACCCTCTTCAGAGGCTGTTTCCATAGAAACGGGGTGCTGGATGCCCTCAGAGAGATGAGAGGGTATGTGATGGCATAAGATGTGAAGTTGAGCACACAGAATAATTAGGTAATTATATTAATTTAATGACAGGTCGCTACAATAGTGAGTCAGTGAAACTAGCTTGTAATCTTTCATGAACCGTTAACATCACAGCCAGGTTCAGTTTATATTATGTTTAGTTAAATTAATTAAGAATATAATTCACACCAGAGATTTTAAAGGGTTTTATTAAGAAGAGATTTAAAAGCAGTGATAGATAGCAAACCTAATCTCAGCAAGTAAATCGGGCTGTGAAAGCCACCATCAGCTGATCTAAGAGGTGGGCTCATGGCTTATAAGGAGTCTTTGTTATAATTGGGGATCATATAAAGCCTTGAAGGTCAACAATAACATTTTGAAATCAGGGAGGCCAGAACAGGAGTTATATGATCTTGTTCTCTTGAACTGGTGATAATTCTAGCAGCAGCATTTTGAACCAACTGAAGATGAGAGAGGGAGTAGTAGTAGTAGTAATAGAAATCTAGACGGGGGAAAAATAAAGGCACAGACAACAAAACTTCAAATAATAATAAGAAGAATCTAATTTTTGAAATTAACTTAAGTTGAAAGAAACATGACTGAACAACCTTCCTTAGTTGGTCATAAAACAAAGGCCAGAATTGAATAAAACACACAGATTTTCTGCAGTTGGCTTAGTGTTACATGATAGAAGTCAAAAACTACACACTATCTGACTGAAAGGATTGGATATGGCAAACAGGATAGTTTTTGTTTTGTCACCGTTAAGTTTGAGGGCGTTTTGAGAAGTTCAGCACTTTATATTAGAAAGGCTGTGTGAAAATTTTGCTTCTCTTTCTTCCTTGTCTTTTCTTTTTTTAAAGCTATTATTAGTGGATTTTATTGGGACATATAACTTGGTGTTATCAGCATAACAATGGTACTGTACATTATGTTTAGTAATGACCTGTCCAAGGTCCGCAGCATATAAATGAAGAAAAGTAATGGACCCAGGATTGACCCTTGGGGAACGGCATTAGTGAAATGGGAAAATAAGATGGGGAATTTCCAACAACAACAGAAAAGCCTGTATTGGATAGATAGGATTGTAACAAGTTTAGAGCAGATCTTTTCAGACCAAGATGGACTCTATTAATCTTTTGTGAATGTGTGAGTAAAATCATGTAGTGGTCTTGGGGCAGGGGAACAACTGCTCCTTGTTGACCTTCTTTCATCTCTCTCTCTCTCTCTCTCTCTCTCTGTCACACACACACACACTGGCCTCATACCCTGTGATGCAGCAGTAACTCAGTCAATGAGTGTCACTACCTCTCTGAAAGACCCCGAGGCTGCAGCAGCCACTATGAGCCACCCTCCAGCCCACACCCCTGCCGCCGCCTGGTCACAGCCCAACAGGAAGCATCAGAGCCAGGGAAGAAATGGAGCAAAGTGTGGGTCAGCCTGTGTCCTGGGGATGGAAGCTGGAATGTAGGTCTGCTCTACAGGGGATCATGTTCATGACTCATTACTGATCGCTCACCACCGTTATATCCCTTGGTGACTGGTGATCTTTATGTGAATACATGTATGATCTATACACACAGGCCCTTCTGGGCTCACATAGCCTACATGTATCCTTAAAGTACAGTATATTGCTATTTGTAAACAAGTGACATAAAGGAGTGGTACACCTGGAAGATAGATTTATCTATATTATATGAGAGAATGATATCAAACTACATTAAGGCCTATTAAGGACACAGTCTAAATGTTGTTTGTTTCCTGGATAGTTGCAGTAGTGAGAAAACTGAACTTCTTTTTATTAAAGCAGTAGTTACAAATGTCTCTCTTGCAGAGAGTTAGATGAGAAGATTGATACCAGCAGCTGGTTAGTGTAGCTTCACATATATATGTATACATATTAAAGGACTGTTGTATTAGCTGTGTGTGACAACTGAATGTATATATACAGTCTATCTGTACAAAATACTTAAGTGTAAAACCGACAATGGCTAGTTTTGGCCTCCTTTTGTTTCCAGCTTACTACTTACTGAGTCAACAAGATTCCAGGACTAAACTTATAGACATAAAGTGTTAATTAGTGAGCTTCAGAGGTGTTAGTATGCAGATTCTGTTATCTTTGGACAGAGGCAGGTTAGCTGTTTTCTCTCGTTTCCAGTCTCTATGCTAGGCTCAGCTAAAAGGCTATATTTATATTTTCTCATCCAACTCTTGGCAAGAAAAAGATTAACCAGATTTCTGAAGATGTTCCCAATCTATCATCACAATGCTGATGTATGTGATGATGTTGTCAAATTAAGCTTGCATTAAAGACATACCCTCACAACTCTGAGAGTAGGCAGTGAAAGCTGAGCTCTGCAGGGTGATGGGACAAAGCACTATGGGGGGTCTAGCACGGCCAAGAACTGGCAAGGACCTGCTCTGCTTTATGCCACTGCAGCTGACACACATAAATCTAAACCACATAAGCAGCTCCTCTGTCACACACATGCCAACATAAAACACAGGCACCATCAAACATCTGTGTGCGCACAAACACGTATTCCCATTGTAAAAGAAAAAGGAAGTAGGAAGAGAAAAAATAACAAAAATAAATGTAAAACAACTGTGCTTAATTCAGCTGTCTCACTTTTCACTCCGGCGATGCACCTCTTTCTCTACCAGCCAATGAGTCGTCAAATGTGTGTTTACGTAATCCTGACCAATTCAAACAATTTTGTTACGGTAAAGAATGGGGGATTAGTTTATGGAGCTTCAAAGCCAAATATAGAAAACGCATGTGAGGGATTATAGACACATCAAAGAATAAGGATGGAGAACACATTAGGGTGCAGTTTCATCTTCCATCTCCCTCTCTCTGTCTCCTTTCTAGTCTTTTTCACTGAAGGAGGCAACGTGACGCAGAGGTTGGTTGAAAAGAGAACACTGGACTTCATTGAATGCATGCAAGACTGATATATAGGTCTAACACATCATGATGTATGTAGTTGAGTACTGTGTTGGGAATTTGGCAGTGGATGATAATTTTTGTGCATAATCAGTCTTAGATTATCATCAGTTTGTGCCAATAAAATATCTAATATAAATATATTTAAAACATACCTACAAAAAGACTGTGGTACATTAAAGTTATGAGTCATCTTGTTTTCAAGTCAGGATATAATTACATGCTGCAGAAATAAGAAGGAGTGCCATCAAGTAAGATTCATGAAGTGTATTTGTGCGTGTGTGTGTGTGTGTTGCTGGAAGAAGAAAAGTGCCAAATCCATGCGGGAGAATGAATTGCCGACTTCACCGTGACTGACAGTACCCGAGGGCGGCTGGAGTGATTGTATTTGAACGCCTCTTATGTAATTAGGGTACGTTATTTTGACTGTATGGAGCCCTAAATATAGGGATTATGCTGCAGTTTGGCAATTGCAATATTAAAATATCTTCAGGGTTTTATAACCCACACAGTACGGTTATGAAATGTGCTTTTTACATTGTAAAGTGCCGAGGAGGAGGTGGCACACGGGAGAAATAAGCCAGGATGGATTTGAAACCTGTAAACATGCCTGAAAAGGAATGAAATTATGTAACAGTTTGTATGAGTCGGTCTTAAAAGTTCACCAGACGCATAACAAGGTGAGTGTGTGTGCACCACCCTTGTTTGTGTGTTTTGTTGTCCCAGTTGCGGTGGCCGGTTCCCAGCAGATCTAGGAGGATTGTAGCTTTATCTTCATAACTGGATGTTAATCTTGTGTGGAATCCAGCACTGCTTCGGGGGAACGTAGCCTGTGTGACACTAACATCGCCACCTGGTCCTTGGGACAACACACACACACAAACAGTCATAAGCTCCTCTGTGCACACAGAATGGGTTTATAGTTCATGCAACTGTTCACGGACTGTGTTTAATTACATAAAAGTGATTGTGACTGTGCGGGGACTGTTTCCTATTCACCACCACACAGCTGGTTGAGCTGGCTTCTACTTGGTCATAAGAGAATATGTACAAAAAGCTACCTAGATAAAGTTGTATGAGTTGTGAAAGGGTTAACTGTGTTTGGGTTGCAGTTCAGACATGACTGTCATTGGCAAACTTTCAGTTTTGAACATGAGTCATCGATAATGAGGATTTGGAAAAGATGGAGTTTTCCCCGAAAGTGTAGATTTAATAGCCAATAAATAAAAACCACTACCAACATCACTGACAGCTGCAGTGGCACTGAACATGAGGTAAAGTCACTTTGCATAGATCATTTAAAGCAGTCCAACAGAAACCTGGTGGTATCAGCATCGAGCAGCGTATTAAACAAAACCTCCAGGAAGAGAGGAGGAGTAACGGTAAAAGGCATCACATCCGTTGAGAAAGGATTTCAATTTCCCCTTTTTGAAGCAATCTGACTCAGCAGGAGAGGGAAGTGAGCAGAGTGAAACTTCCTATCCAAACCACAGCAAATTAACTCCATCTTCTGCTAGAGCTATAACATAATAACCTCTGCATGAGTTTCGGCCTTTGACCTCAAGGTGTTTGAACCGGTGGCCCCTCCTCTCCGTCATGGGAACAGTCTCCCTCTGTTTATGGCAGTTTAAGGGGCCTCAGATGTCGCCGCCGGCAGTCGGTGTGCAGTAGGTTTGTGATCTTTACTGACCAATGTGGGTGTGCTGCTGGGCGGAGCCACGCAGGCCCGTCGAGCCCTCTGATTGGTCCTTTATGTCCAACGAAGGTGGGGCTAATTCAGCAGTTAGCCGAACTGCGTGTCAATCGAATGCGATTATGCTGCTTTCAATGACTCCTCGTATTTCTGAAACATCATAGAAAGCGCAGTTAGGTAAAGGAAAACAGCATTTAGGTCCTCAGTTCATTAGATCTTTTTTCAGTGGTGGACTGAACTTAAGTATATTTACCCCAAGTAAGTTAAATACATGATAAGGAATTGTTATTTTTGCACTTCTCCACATTTCAGAGGAAATTGTAGCCTACCTTTTACTTCACTGAAGATATCTGTTAGCTATAGTTACTTTACAGATTGATACTTAAATAAGAAAAAAACATGTGATCAGCCTATAGAATATGATTGTTATAGATTAAACTACACAACAGTATGTGAAATAGTTACATTAGCTCCATGTTGATCAGCTGCAACATACAATGCTGTTTACATGTTAATGTGTAAGTAGTAACAGCCGCTACAATAATATAATATACCACTAAGGTTAAAGGAAATGTATTTATCATTATTTTTTTATTCTTTATTTATTGATCTAAATGTATTTAACAGTAGTGGGCATCCTGCTTCAACATGAGAATGAATTCAGGATCCCCCTCTGTAGCCTATGGGAAACAACATCAACAAAGTCAGAAATCTACACGCTGAAAACCGCCCGTCATCTAACCCGTTGCTATCGGTACTAATGTAAACAAGCTGTTACCTTTTCTTCTGAACAGATTTCGCCATTTGGGCTCACCTCTCCCTGTGCAAATGTTCCACCAAAACATGTCATCAAACAGAAAGTCTTTGGGGTTTGAAAGATCTGGGCATTGAAAACCTAATGAAGGCTATCCAGTTGCATTGTGGGAAATGTAGGATCTGAAATTAGTGTTTTTGGAACTACTAGGGCCTACAGATCAGTTCATCTCTGCCTCTGCTGCATTAGTTTTGATTTCATTGTTGCTTTAATATGCCAATTGTGAGTCCCCTGACTTTATGGAAGTGACATACTGAATCGCTGGAACACCCCTTTAAATAAAGGATGTCAACTCTTCATCTGCTTGCACAGGACATGCTTATTGTTTTGAGGATTTTTTTCTTTTGCATAATATAACTCAGCTGAGCCAGCATTGGTCCATCAGTTTCCATGGTGATGAATGGAGTTTGGCAACTGATAAAAAATAATTCATTTACCATTTTCCCTTTTAATTTAATTGTGAAACAATCCTCCATAACCGTCTGTAGTGCACTGTTAGTTGGAAGGTATAGAGAGGCCGCCTCCTGCACGAACCAACCATCCAAAAGGTGAAAACCAAACATTTCCGACAGCCCCTGAACGCAGCAATACCCCCTCTGG